AGGGAATGGAGCTGGCGCGTCGGTAGTCAGGGGCTTATGCCTCAACATAACATCCCACCCTCCATGCCTACCATTAACATCTCAGAAAAATAAATAGGGAAAGAAATTAGGAGGCAAACCCATTGACAAAGCAAGCTGCCAGAGTCAGGCTATTTTGGTATGGACTTAGCCCTCCCCCAACCACCCCGCCATTTTCCTTTTTTTTTTTTTTTTACTAATATTATGTGGTTTTATTGATAATAAAGGACGATTGCAAAAGTTTCAAGAAAACAAATATTCAGACACTTGTGAGCCCTCCAAAGACACACCTCGCTTTGCTAATCCTTCTATCGCATCATTGGCCTCTTTGTACACATCCATATGAAACTTCCATGTGGCTGAAAATCCATGATTTGCATTCAAATCATTCTAAACATTCTAAGCCTTTGTTGAAGGTTATAGCAGCAAGATATAAAGTTTTATATATTGAGAGTTTCCGTTGCAGTTGTAATGAGATTTGTTCCTTAAAGACAATAATTCTAGCTCTATAAATTTATGATAAAACCAAAGTAATCCCTATGAATGAGATGTTAATTTACCTTCCGTGGACTTAGGCACCATTGAGCAATGAATCACTATTGCTAGATCGAACTGCTCTGATATCATGTAGAATTTGCAATAAAGGAAATAGTGAAGAGAGAAAGAGAAAGATCAATAAGATATATACGTGGTTCGGCAATGGTGCCTACATCCACAGAGGTTAAACCAGTATCGCATTAATGAGAATTACTTTGATTTACCAGAGATTTATAGAGCTATAATTATTGTATTTTAGGAAACAAATCTCACTACAACCGTAATCCCACAAAATAAAAAGCTTTCAATATGGAAAACTTTATATGTTGTTGGTATAATCTTCGACAGCCTCCAAGGTGGTCTGGATTCCTTGTTGTACCCATTAATAACATTTAGAGAATCCCTCTATATAATACAAAATCCTACTATTTGTCTCTCCAATGACAACTTTAATCCTCATAGAAGCGCATTAAATTCATCTTGGTTTGTTGTAGCATGATCGCATGGACCAGCAAAGCGTAAAATGACTAAGCCATCCGAATTCCTCAAAAATCCCCCCATATCTACCGGCCACAGGTTTCCCAAAGAATTTCCAACAAAATTTAATTTTATACCTCCTAACATCAAAGGCTCCCACATGCCTTTTTGTCTCATCTTAACATATCCCTGATTAATCAAGTTAGCCACATTTAGAGCCACATCTTCCTTAGACACCCCCATCCCCTCTTTAGTAGCTGAAAACCAACTCTAAAGGGTATGTAAGATTTCGATTGTAATGATCTCCACTTCCAAGATCTTCCCTTCAAAAGTTATCATATTTTTTCCAGCCAAATTTCTCATAAAATCGCAGCTCGAAATCTTACCAAAGTTAGTTTCCCTATTTTCGGTAATACATCGAGACTTAACTGCTTCTACTTGTACTGATGACTCCTTGGAAGCACACCATTGAGATTCCCATGGACAACTCCAAATACGTAATGAAAACGAGCAATAAAGAAACAAATGATCTCACAACCCGAAATATTTCCAAGGCCATTCTCCCAATTTTTGATAAAACATCAAGGCTTAACTGCTTCAATATCTCCTGATGACTCCTTGGAAGCACCATCGAGAGTACCATTGTCTTAAATGGTCAATTCCAAATATGTTATGAAAATGAGCACTAAAGAAACAAATGATCACCATTTTCCTTATTCTTCAAACAAATATTGACCATAATTCTGCCCCTCTTCATGAGATTCCACTGTCAAGATTTTACCTTGCCAAAATGTCCACACCTTATGGGGAATCATCCATTTCCTTATCTTATTCAAACTAGGTTGCACCCACTTTAAACGATCATGAAATAGAATTCAATATGCTGAATTCAGTGAAAATGTGCTATCATGTTCAATCTCCCAACCCACTCCATCTTTGGCATTCTGTAATAGATGAACACCTTCCAATTCTTTCAATAATAACCAGAAATCTGTATAAACACCGCATCGAATACCCTGTTATAGGAATAATTTATGCTCCAAGTCCTTGACCATGTCTTTAGTACATCTCATGGATCTTAACCATAGGGTGATAAATTTTCTCAAATAATTCCATAGAAGAAATCTTCAATGCGTTCTGTTCAATCCATTTTTGTTGCCAAAAATACACCTTATTCCCCTTTCCTACCATACATTGCATGTTTCTTGCAACAAAAGATCTATGGAGTCTCAATAACGAGCCTTTAATCTTGTTTTTGATAAAAAATCTATTTTATCTATTCCGATCAATGGGCTTATGCTTGACATTCAATAACTTTTTGTGAAGTCGAAATCTACACCACCCATGAACTGTGCTATTCTAAGTATTATGTTTGATAAGGCTTATGCTTAAACATATAATAACTCTTTGTGAAGTTGAAACCCACACCACCCATGAACTACTATACTATTCCAAGTATGTTTGATAAGGCTCACTACTTCTATTTCCTCAAACTAAGCAATTTCCATTCCAAAACTTCTTGGTCCCCTTGTATCATTATTAGTTTGCAAATATGTAGGGGTATGATCAGATGACAATTCAAGTACCGCGTTGACAGCCACCATTGGAAATTGCATTTCCCAATCACTTGACACCATAAAATGATCTAATTGCTCATGATCAAATTATTTAAACTGTTATTTGACCAAGTGAACTACGTATCACTCAGAGAGGGGTCTAGCCATGTTGCATAATGAAATCGTTAAACATTCTCATTGAACAGTTAATTAGTATTTCATAAGATGTTTCATCCGGACATTTGATAAAATTAAAATCACCTCCCACACACCATGGCAGATTTAAATTCATCACAATTTCGGAGATTTCCTACAAAAACAACCCTTTTAAGCTTGAGCATTCAGGTCATATACATTTAACAAATCCCATTTAAATGAGGAAAACGGACCCTCAAAGACAATTGCCACTATTTTTTGTCCTACAATAACTTCAACAAAATTCAAAACAGAAGAAATCCCAAATCACCCATAAACTACCGGAAGTCTGTGAAGCATCTATAAACTAGCAAACCAACAGACCCCATACTCCAAATTTCCCTAATCTGTCCGATTTGGGAGTTTCGGTCCTTGCAAGAAAATTACATGGGTTTGTATAAGGTATCGACCTTATAAACAATCAAAGCACACCAGCCTTTAAATTGTGTCAAAAGATGCAGTATGGTCGCCGAAAAGTTGTGATAGTCTAAAAATCTATGTTTATATTTCATTATAAAATTTAAATATACACACGCGACCATAGATTAAGAAAGCAATGCTATTATAGTATTCTTCCCAAGAAGAACTATTCACTCCCATTTAACTGGGCTTTTCGTGTTCCAACTGTTGTCATTGCATGATATTGAATGTGAAATACGGATCTCCTAAGCAACATAAATAGTAAGGTTTAAATCTTAGCCTCTCTACCAAAATTTAAGGCGAAATATTCACAAAGGAATCAAGAAGCTTCCCTGATTTTTCCTGCTCACAAGTATGAATTAGGCTGCACTAAACTTGCAAACATGAGTCGAGAATATGTGACAGATGCACGCCTTTTGCAATAATAACTAACTAATGGCACATGCTTTGCATTAAAATATCATAATGCAACTAAAACACAAGTGAAATCTTGAATGCATCTTAATCATACATTTTTGAGTGGATCCTTTGGATAACAAATTTGAGTGGAAGAACTTACAAGAGTCCCTCAATCAGATATATCATAAAAACAATCATGGGCATTGTTGATGTCATCATCGTCATCATTCTTTTAGCCTTTTCCCAATTTAATTGGGGTTGGCTAGATGAATGCGTTCTCCAGCTCTATTAAAGGCTATATCTTCAGTGAGGCCATAAATCCCCATATCTTTTCGGAATCCAACCACATCATTTTGAGCCTACCCTTTACCCTTTTCAATCATTCCACTTGAACTAATTCACACCTCCAAACAGGTGTTGTACTTGGTTGGCGCCACACATGACCAGCCCACCTAAGTCTACTCTCTCTCATTTTATCGCCTATTGATGCCACACCTAAATTCTCTCGAATAGATTCATTGTGAATTCTATCCCTTCTTGTCTTGACAGTCATCCATATCAACATCCTCATCTCCGCTACACTCATTCTATGGGTATATTGTTTTTTGTCCGCCCAACATTCCGCCCTATAGAGAAAAGCTGACCTCACTGCTGTCCTATAGAACTTGTCCTTTAGACTCATTGGTATGCAGCGATTACATAAAATTTCAGTTGCACATCTTCACTTTGCCCACCTAGCTTTAATTTTGAGTGCAACATCCTCCTCGATCTCTCTATTTTTCTGGATTATCGACCCAAGATTACAAAAGTGCAGTCTTTTTAGTACTTCTTGGCCATCAATCTTAACTACTTCCTCGTCTCTACTCCTATTATTACTAAATTTGCACTCCATATACTCTCTGTCTTAGTCCGACTAATTTTAAAATGTTTAGATTCTAGAACATCCCTCCAAAGTTGTAACTTTGTGTTGAAACCATTTCGGTTCTCATCACTCAAAACTATATCATCTGTGAACAACAAGCACCACGGTATCTCATCCTGTAAGTGCCTAGTTAAATCATCCATAACTAAGACAAAGTGATACGGGCTCAACGCTGATCCTTGATGTAGACCTATTGTGACTGAAAACTCACTCGACTCTCAACTAGTTGTTCGTACACTAGTAGCCGCTCCATCGTACATATCTCTCACCAAGTCGATGTAGTGTCTAAACACACCTTTCTATGAGTATTGTTCATGTACAAATCATAAAGCCTCAATGTCATATAAATCATCATGGGTATTATTAATGTACACTTATAATATCTATATAAGTGATGTACGCATTCATGTAGATTATGACACTTATTTTGCGTGGTCAACATTACACAAATACATCACAAAAGAAGAACGTCAAAATAACTAAACAATACTCTTATGTACATGTATAAATCATAAAGCCTCAATGTCATGTAAATCATCATGGGTATTATTGATGTACACTTATAATATCTATATAAGTGATGTACGCATTCATGTAGATTATGACACTTATTTTGGGTGGTCAACATTACGACAAATACATCACAAAAGAAGAACGTCAAAATAACTAAACAATACCCTTATGTACATGTCCATAAACACTCCCCTCGGAACTTGAAAATAACGCTCCAAAAGCCAGAGTGAGGTTTGTGCTTGCATGAGTTACTGGCCTGCGCTCGGGAAAATGTGAAGATGTTATCTGGTTGATTTCTTCAGCAAATGCATGGTAGAGTAAAGGTCCTCTCAAATGTGTGCTGTCACCACTTTAGAAATACAACACATTGCCAATCAATTAGCTGGTAACATAAGAGCATATTAGTTGCTAATAAAGAAATACATAACTGAGGTAAACACCATATGCAGGCACATAATATTTGGCACATATATTGCAGGTAAAATAAGGGTCCGTACTAGTCAGTAGCATAGAAAACAACTGTGCAATTCTGCCCTACAAGGTATAGATATTAGTGCTGTTAATTTTTTTAAATGATGTGTGGTTCAGTCCTTCAACAAATTTGTCTCTCCAAGAAAGGCTTAAGACACTACCTGACTGAAAGAATCCTTGCCCACTCTCTCTCATAAAACTATAGAGAACATGGCAATAGCACTTATCAGGAAAATATTTAGCAACGGCAGATTGGAGTGTCTAGAAAACATTCAAATTTTTTGTGTCCATGGAGCTCAGAAAGTGGGGTATGTAAAATAGGCATCTGGCACAATCAAACTGCAAGAAGTAAAATTAATAGGGTATCGTATTGTTTGCTAAAAAATAACCAGTATACGTTGCATCATTAGAATCTAAACATCATATATTGTGGTGCAATGCAATACAAAGCAGCTTGAACACCACAAATACAACGAAATGGTTAGACATCCAAGTTAGTAGAGAGAACCAATTTAGAGCCACACTTCTAGAATCTTAGATTAGGGATAGCTCATAATTTGATAAGCAACTGTTTCCTTCTTGAGCTTAAAATCTGATATTTAGTGTCAACAACACATCATGTAGACTTCAAGTATATCATCGCATACAAGACCAACTTGTATATTTAGGCATCAGAATATAATCTAGTCATCAAACAAAAATTTCACATAAATTTTTTTTTTCTCAATGTGCAACATGTGTTAATTTGTCTATGATGTCTTATGACATACTCTAGGTTTAGACTCTAGAAATGCTCAGAATATTTGCAAAACTTAATGAAATTATACATCCTTCAGAACATAACTGGATTTGTCTTGTGAGAAGAAAAAATGAACAATGTTCTTCAACTATCTATCATGGACACAAAGGTCAGAATGTGCAAAAAATAGGAAAACTGGTGATCTTCAAATAAGGGACCTTTGTCTCTTTCAACCAGATTCACATCGAATCGACTAAAATACGGTAGGGCAAGAAGGACTGGATCTGAGCACATTGGGCAAGATCCTTTCAAGAATGGTCACAACTTGGAAAGTGCTTTACCTCACCATGCAGTAAACTTATGAGAAAAAGCAAAGAAAAGGATTCGATCTGAGCACATTGGGCAAGATCCTTTCAAGAATGGTCACAAGTTGGAAATTTGCTCACCCTACAGTAACTTACAAGAAAAAGCAAAGAAAACCTTCTCCTTAACCTTATTCCACATCGGTACATTCAAACTTAGAAGCTAAGAACAGGAGAGGGAACAAAAGAGTGGAAAGTTTGGAACACCCCGGAGTTGGGAGCACCTAGGAACTATACTTTCTACGGGTACAATGCCATTATAAATAAGTCTAATTTAACAATAATATAGCAGCTACAATATCAAGTTTAAAAACCCCAAATTGATGTAACCTCAATAACAAATCCACGAATTTGTGTTTCAGAAACATATTCCTATTCCAATAAGGACATCACAGAAAGTAAAACCCATTATAACTGTTTTAAATCAAAACCATTTAAGTGTTTGCCAGAAATAACAATGGAATTATGAGGACATCCAATGATATATTTGAATGACCCAACAAACCAATGGAGAGAGTCACTAACGATAAAAAAAATAAATGAAATGAAAAAGAAAGCCAAATCATAGACAATCATCAAAAGAAAAAGAGTAGATATTGAGATTTTGTTGAGATCCCTTGAACACATAGTCCTGATTTAAGAATCACAAGATTACTAGAGCATATAGGCCCACATGATCAGTTGGTGGTGTTATGCAATAGAACAAAAATGGCTATCACACACTTCTCTCTATCTATACCATGAACAGGTGAACCAGTAAGGGAAATGTCAGAGTTACATAGGTGGAAAGGAGCCAGGGAAACCTTAAAAGTTTATATATACATATACATACACACACACATGCATGTAAATATACATATCATCATCATCATCGCTTTTTCCCAACTATTTGGGGTTGGCTACAAAAATCCTGGTCCACCATGCTGCTCTATTAAGGGCCATACCCTCAGTGAGGTCACAAGTCCCCCTATATATATATGGAAAAACCTAAAAAACGCCTATAGGCGAAATGCTACAGTGTTTCACCACTGCCACGGATTTGCTATGTCTATGACGGTTTATTGAACAAACCTGCAACGGACGGCACCGTCCGTTGCGGTCCTGTGTAAATTTTTTGACCACCACAGACCTAGCATGTCCGTGGCAATAACGCCACAAACATGCTAGGTCAGTAGCGGTCAAAAAATACACGGCGCCCAATTTTTTCGGATGGTGATGATCCTATGGGCGAAAACACTGTTCATTTTCGCCCATAGGCGTTGCGTAGATGCTTCCTAGATAATATATATATATATATATAGATAGATATATTATGCAAAGATAGAGAGAGAGATGATATTTCCAAACTTTTGGCTCTTTCAATTTGATGCCATGAAGGACTGAGCAAAAATATCGCATATATATAAACACGAGAACCAAAGACGAGAAGCAAAGAGAACTTCTGGCACGAGAATGTCACTAGTGTAATACCTTTATATAGTTTAACCTAAACTTCCAAAGTCTGAGACAATGAACAGCTAGTTTGACAAGGATTGTCTAGGATGAACTTCCAGCTGGATATTCATTGGTTGCAATAATACATTAGACAAATGATCAGGAAGGACCTGGCTCTACCTTCACTATTACAAGTCCCAGCCCAACACCATTGGATAATTTTTTCGAACATGGAGGATTCGAGAGTAACCAAACGTTGAATCTCGATCAAAAAAATGATCCAACAGGTTAAGAATGGATTTACAACAATTAAGGTAAAGTGAGGTACCCGATTATTCCACTTAATACACAAATTCTTGATAGCAATTTATGCATCCTCTTAAGTCTATAATCTTGAGACCTTAAAGCATTAGATGCATTTTTAGCACCGATATAATCTGTTTCTATGAAAAGGAAGCAGCAGCAGTTTGCTCTCAGCCTCAAATTTTTACATGCCCAACACATAATTAAGTGCATCCTTTCCATCAGAATGGATGCAAGATGCTGCTATTGTTTCAAAATATAAGAATGGAGCTTCAAGAGAAAGTGGCTCCCTGAAATTAGTCAAAGCCACCTAGAGTGGATACCATAGATTAAGACTCATGCCTATTGGTTTCATGACCACCACAAATCTTAAGAAACCGTCAAGATTCCAATCATGGTCTTTAATAACCATGAAAGGAGCCCCAAGAGAGTGGCTCAACTTGAAATTATTCAAAGCCATCTAGAATGGTTCCCAAATATCACCTCTGTTGCCTATTGGTCTTACCAAAATTCTGAATCTGTGGCTGTCTTTGGGGCTGAAAATCCATTATCCATTATTTTAACCAAATGGTTGAGAATATTTTGGTCGTCTAACGCCCCACCATTAGCCACTGACTTTTACAAACAGTTGGGTTGGCTAAAGAAAACACTGTTCCTAACCCATGTTTATAATATAAAAGAAAGGATCTCATCAGGTTTTAGAATTTGTAGTGTACTATTTATACTTAAGCTGACCTGAAAGAGTAAGAGGGAGGAAACAAACATTGCAATTTTTCCTTTTTCTTTCTTTTTTATTTTCATTCTTTTTTGAATGTTAACTTGGGATGGGTCACATTGGAACTCTTGACAACAAGTGGCTCCACCTACGCTGAACACTGTGTCAAAAGCCTCGTTCCCAAAGGCACTGGCAAATTTAGCCAAATTTAAAAACCATGAATGGAGCTTCAAGAGAGAGAGTGGCTGAAATTAATCAAAGCCATCGAGGTCGGTTATTGCAGATTACATTTTTGGCCAATTAACTGTGAAATTATTATAAATCTAAAGAGAACTGGTATAGATTCCATGCGTGGTCTATAAAAACCATGAATACAGCTTCAAGAGAGGAAGTGGATCACCTTCAAATTATTTAAAACCATCTAGAGTGTTGACTGCATATTACCTCTCTTGCCTATTTGTTTTGTGATCGTTACAAATTTATTGAGAACTTCCAGATCCAATCATGGGCATCAATACGTGCAACGCTACAACCACAAAGTTCTTATTTTTTGCATATTTTCATCATTCCTTGCAATCACATAAATTATACATTAAAATTACAGACATTGCCTAGGGAAGTAGCTTGGATTGCCTGAGGGACAAGCTTCAAAACCAAAATACCTGGACATGCTAGTGAAAATTGGGTATGACATTAGTAGACCAAAGGCACCACAATGCTCAAAGAGATTGAAATCAAAATGTAAGTTGGGGTGGGAAATGGTTGCGTCAACCCATGGACCTGATGGGTCAATCAGACCAGGTCCAGGTCTGGACTCCACGGGTAGGGTCCGGGTCCCCTTGGGTTCTACTAGGTCGGGTCTGGTCTGGGTTGGGTCAACCTGACCCGAATCTACCCAGTATTTACTAGTATAAAATCATATAAACAATTTTACTATATGATATAGAGGATATAAAATATTTTTTTATATTTTTTTATTTATAGACCCGGACCCACCCGGTGGGTTGGATCCGGGACCAATTGACTTGGTCCCTGCCCGGGTCCAGATCTACCCTAGACCTAATTGGGTTGGGTCCCGAACGGCATTGACCCAGACCCTATCCGATCCATATCCAGCCCTAAATGTACGCCCACATCTCAGTTCCTCAAACCTCGTTGTTACTAGCCATCCCCACTCCAAACTGGCCCCCAATCAATCAAGGTTTCAAGGGTCTACAAAGATATGCAGAAGAGGTAAAGTGAACTCCCTCAATAATATCCCAAAACCACAGCGAATACATAATGATCTGCCTATTCTACTACCATGAATAAGAAAACAAACGTTTGGCAAAGAACTAGCCCCCAGGTAATAATTTATTATGTATGAGGAATTCATCCTTTTAAGCAGGCAATAAAAACAGCTGAAACCTTGATCATACCACCCATAAGTAGCACAAATAAGAACATATCTGAAGGTTTCAACATGCAAAAAAATGAATAACCTTTCATTACTTCTATATTCTTCAAAAGACATCACCACAAGCCCGCCAAGTAAAAAAGTGTTGCCTTGTTTAAGTCTCTTCTCATACGAACCATCCATATGATGCTGTCCTGCCTATCCCATGCTCGCAAATCTAGAAAACCTATATTCCAAGTAAAAACAACCAAACCACTTATCATTCAAACCTTGCATGAACCAACATGACCAACACAGATGAACAATCTTGTCAAAGTCGCAAATCCTTCCACTTTTTCCTTCCGTACAACTGAAGTACGTTACCTCTCTTTTCTAATATAAAATACCAGTTTTCTCTTTGCAGACGCAATAACCTAAACAATCTCTTTCCAGCTCCCTCATTCTTCATAGGCTAATCTCAGTAGCCACTTAAGCATGGCCTTATTTATCACCCAGGCTCTCATAATACTAACCTGTTCTCACCCATCACTCCCTAACCCTTATTTTGTTACCTAATACCACTACACTCTTTTTCACTTCATAAATCTATTGGAATTTCTGAACAAGTTAGAAATTAAGTTAGTACCACGTTGATGAGACAAGATTTTACTTCTACAACCTTGCCCTCCATCCAACAATGTTAATCTAATGTTCTCCAATACTGCCTTCCTAGATATGTGTTTCATGGCTAAATCAAAGTAATCAAAATCTGGAGCACAAACATTTCCAAGATGAATATGACCCTCGAAGTTTACATATGGAATAAATCCTGGAGCACAACCATTTCCAAGATCAAGATGAACCTCACAGGTTACCTAGGGAAGGGAACTGCCTATTCCAAAATGAGTCCTCATTAACTCTACATGGAAAGAGTCCAAACTTTGCAGCAATCTCTAAAGAAGCTATAAGAGATGATTCATAACTAAGGCAGAAAGAAGAAATGACTCTATTGCCCCCATCTCCCTCCCTGACATCTATATTGGGAAGCTAATACAATTAGAATGAAAACTGAAAATGAAATCATAGTGGAGAAGATATGCCAAAGCTTATTTAGATCAATTGAGCCCAATTAGTGCGTTAGACGGCATCTATGAACAACAATTCCATTTGTATAGTTAACATTTAAAGATGGTATACATCGAGTAGCATACACTGCAGAAAAAGAGAGGAGTCTAAAGATGAAAAGCAAAAAGGAAAACAGATAGAATTGTTCGATTAACCATTAGTCAATTTCATGCACGGGCCAGCTAGCATATTGCCATGTACCCTCTTGAAATACCCTCGCTTAATTGGTCTTAGGAGTGTTAATTGCTCAGGATCATTTCCAGCCTTACGGTTGGAGTAGACATTAATTGGTGATACAAACAAAGACTTAAAACACCAAAAACCTACACAACTTCATCACTCATCCCAGACATTTTTATATACATATGTTTCCATATTTATTGTACATATTCTTATTTTATTGATAAGATAAGCAAATCTATAAAAAGGGCACACAACCACACAAACATAGAGAGAGAGAGAGAGAGAGAGAGAGAGAGAGAGTGAGACGTCAAGATCTTCAGTGGGTCCAATGGGACTCTTAGAAACATACCTTAATATAGTAGATATCAACCATGACAAGCAGCTATCCTAGACACCAGAACCACGACGATTGCAATGGGTAATGAAAGAATCTCGGGCTCGAAACCTTGGAAACCCTCTATTTGTCCCAAAAAGAACAGAATTACCAATAGGAGGAAACATATCGTAATCCCCACCAATAATCATATGACCAGGGCCCCCAAATGGAGCTGGGCTCCTCCTCCTCTGAGGAAAAAGCGACCCAAATGGGCGGACCCTTCTCCTGAATTGTATTTTCCTCTTATTTCTCTCAAAACATACAAGATATCTCTCTTTCCAACTTCTCTCTGTCAGTGCTCTTTCATTCTTTAAAGGCCCAAATTCCTCTACAAACTTCGCCTTCCATATATCATCATTTGAAGAAACGTATCTCAGTTCAGAACAAACACATCCCAATTTTGAGATATCTGGGGGCGAGAGAAACTCCAATACTTTGAGTTTTAGCTCAGTGGGTATGCACAAAAGACAGGGAGGAGGTGGTAAACCTGTTTTCTCACATAAAGCAGTAAGGAGGGGCAGGGAAAGTTGGTCCTTAACGATCTTCCAAAGCTGGAAGACTTCTCTCTCATAGCTCGATTTCAAAGAACCCAATCCTTCTCTCTCATGACTCAATTTCGAACAACCCAATTCTCCAGTTTCTTCAAAAGAAGAACCCTTTGACCCACTCTTGCTCAAGGCGAAAATAGCGGGAAGAAATTGAGTTACATATAGGGAGAGACGGTATATATCTGAGGAGCCATTGCATAGTGACCCATAAAGAAGAACAAACTTTCCCAAAATATGAAACTTTAAAACAACAGATTCCACCCCATCGGTTCGATTCAACAGCTCAGGGACTGTGTATCTCAAAGATACAGAAATCCTTGAAGCCCAACCTTCAGGAATTGAACAACCATCAATTTGTCGATTAGTTTGAGGGTCAAGACCCACAAAACCAGTCTCTAACATAACAGCATGAACAGCCAATATCAGAAGGCCATGGCCATCCAGCGCTTTATGGTCCATTTCTGATAAGACACGCCTAAGAAAACATGGAACAGATAATGATTTCCCCAAAACCGTCTCATCATCCACCGCCATGGCATCATCAAAACCAGGCTTTTCCTCATCAGAATTTACGAAAGTAGAGTTTGAATTTGAAAGAGAAATTGGTTCTTCTTCAACAATGAAATCTTTATCAGAGTTGGGTTCGCTTATAAAACTTGGGTTTCCAGCAACAACAATATCTTTATCGCAAATGGGTGTTCCTACCTGAATATGAGCATCCACAAGAGAAGAAGAACAAAAAGAAGAATATGCGGCAGAATTCTCCATCGATTGAGAAAACCCAACCGGGTTTAGAGTGTAAAAGATCAAATCACCAGACGTTACGCCATATGAATCGATCAATGCATTAGGGGGGCCATCGAGTTCATCTTTCTTGTTCAATGATAAGTGAAGAGAAGCAGGAGAAGTACCGAGAGATTCAGCAATGGCAGTTTTGAGGGCTTGAAGAGAGCAAGGAAAAGGTGGGGTTTCTATCTTGATAGTTTCCTTTGATTCCAGTGATCTCAGCCTGAGCTTCATTGTGGAATTCGTTCTCTAGAGAGATACAGAGACAGAAAAGAGACGTCGGGAGGGAAGGGCATTTACAGTCGGGGTTGCCCTTATAAAATGTTTCGTGATGAGGCGGTGTGGAAAGAAAGGAGAGAGAGGGGGCAGAGATTTATATGATATGAAAATATTTCTTGCTCCTAAGGGGGCAATGGCCAACGCAGCTCGGCTCGGCCTGGTCAGGCCCTAAACAGAATTAGGGTTTGGGCACAATCTTGATGGCGCGTGGGCGTGGGCTAGACTCTTCATGTTGAGGGGTCCATGGATATCTATTTTAAGGGAAGTATATATTGAAACCATTTTTTTTTGGTGCAAAGTACAAGGTGGTCACAATTGATCTTGTAAAGTGGATGTGATATTGGGTGGCTCCGGTTATTTTATTGACCAAGCTCAAAGTCTATAAAAAAAATTTTTGAAACTTCATAACACATCCAAGCTATTAGATTTTATTGGATGATTGTAAGTAATTGTAACATCTACATATGAAAAGTGAATGGTCTCATTATATACAATCCTCTATTTTAATGTTTATCTATTGATAAAAAAATTATATCATATATAAATAAATAATTATTTTTTTAGATTTATTTATAATTTATGCCATATATAAATAAATACTTATCTTCTCAAGTTTTTTTTATAAGGTTCTTCAAATGAGGATCAACATCCTTGAGAACTGGGAGTTTTGTTTTTCAAAGACCTGTTGCAAAATTGAATGTTAGACCCATCTTCCTTCTCATAGATATACATGGGAAGTTAGAGGCAGGAGAACACATGGCCCCATCTTCTTTCTTATAAATATGAGAAATTAGATACAGCATAACACAAAAACAAAAAAAAAAAAGCTCTTGTGTTTACATAAAGCTTTTCTTATCTCTCCAAAAATATTTTTAAAATAAAATTCAGGATTTGCGATAACGAGCTTCACCACACCCTCTCAAATCTCGGCTCTACACTTATCCTAACTTCAAAATTGGTTCGTTATTTGATCATTGATCTTTTTATCTTATTTTCTGGTTAATAAGTGCTAAATTAAAAAAAAAAAAAACTGGTTAATAAGTGCTAAATTAAAAAAGAAGAAGAAGGGAGGAATCCAAATTTGCGGGCATTGATGCTCACCATAAAGTTTCTTTCTTGCTCGTTAATATTTTTATCTTGTTTGCACTATACGTTTTCTTTGCTTAAAGTTAACGCTCATCTTATCAAAGCCATAAAGTTACTCTGTCATTACCCTTTTGATAGCAAAAGTAGCATCCATGACATGTATTACTAGTCCTCATCCCTTCCTGTTTCTTTTGACTTTTCAACCCTAACAGCATCAATAGAGTAGGCCAAAAGAATAGGTATAATTCTCTCTCTTCATTGGATTTATCTCATAGGGAGGGATTTTAGGCGACAGTTGTATAGTAATACGATGAAATGATCTTAAAAAACTATGTTATGGTAAGTTGTAGAGTAATATAATGAAATGATTTTTAAAAACTATATTAAGATCATTTGTTTGATCCTAATTTATAAATATATACTATTTTCGTTTCAATAAACATTCACCAAAAGCCAAATTTGAAAGCACAATTTAAAAAGTGTTTGTCTAGCCAAACTAACATAGGCTGTTCATTTTGATAAGATGCTTAGATCTAGGTTTTGGAATGATTTTCTTTCTTTCAAATTTTTTTAGATGGTTTTATTATCATTAGATAACAATATTAAAAAAATAACAATAAAGGCCTTGATCTTAAAATTCAACAAATGAATAATCTAGATCCGCTATTGGAGGGGACTAATTTTGACCATATCTAGAGTGCAAATTGAATTTTATTTTTGTGATGATTGATTAGTAGAATGAAGAGAAAGTATGTGCAAGTTTTGGGGTCATATAAATGCAAACCATGGTTTTCTAGAAGTGAAGATTCATTATATCATAATGGCCCAATGAAATGACAATTAATCTTGATCATCGGATGAGAAATTAGGTGGCTGCATTTATGTCATTGACCAAGCTCAAAGTTTAAAAGAAATTTTCTCAAACTTTGTAATACAACCAAGTTATCAGATATTACATCGGATGGTTATAAATAATTGTTACTTCTTTGCACCAAAAGGTAAATTGTCTCATTGTATACGATCCTAATGTGTGTGTATATATGGGTTTTGTTAGGATACTTCTATATATGGAGTATTTCTTTGATGCACTCAACATTTTTGGACACTTCCCTTGCTTTGTAATACAAATGTTTTTAGCAATGATATCTTTAGCCATTAGGAGGGATATAATATATGTTTCTATAAGAAAATAATCGTGTTTTATTTGTGGTTAAAAAACAATTAATACTTTATGTGGGTGATGTCACACTTCATTTGGATGACGTCATTCTCCACTATAATTAATAAATGATTTTCTTTTTATCATGAATTTCTATTTTACTCTTGATTAATTACCTAAAATACTTATAGACAAAAAGGTTATTATATTAACGTGTAATAGTATTAAGTATCCAAAAATACTGTGTACAGGAAATGATCCATGTATGAGAATACCCTAATAGAACATTATATATGGATACACGTTCTATAAGGCCTAGGTTTTATGAAAACAAAGTAAACCCTCCTCCAATTGTCATTCAGAAAGCACTTTGGTTATCAGAAATCTCTAAGATAGCTCTAAAATCAATTTCCAATATCGATTATGAAATTTGAAGCTAAAAAAGTTACATATCTTGCTAATTCGTGAACACTTATTTTGAAGGCGAAATAGACACTTTAGATAATAAAGCTGAAGACCTATTCCTACCTAAACAGCCATTTTCCTTACTTTTTTTTTTTTTGGGTATGTGCCATTTTCCTCACTGATAATCTAATTTGATAGGTTGGTGTATAAAAGAATGATTAAATGGTCCAGCCATTACTATCTACATTTATAGAACAGGTTCAGATGCAGCAAACTATGTCCAATTCGATTTACACATTGAGTTAAGAGTATAACGAACTAAAAAGCCATATCATTCAGTAGATATTCAATTTTACAGATTGAAACATGATGCCATGGACAAAACAACCATATATTTTGCTGATGCAATCTAATTTTACAGGGTGGAATGATATTGTGAACCCAACAACCATACTTTTCACAGTACTTACATCTCTCCCATGAAAAATGGGGGGTTTAGAAACGACCTTGAGAAGGTTCCCCCTCCATTAGGGAAGAGAGTGAGGAAACAAATAATGCCTAAAACAATGCCCCATGCATACCGATCCTCACCTAAGGGAGTGATCTCATCCTTTGCAGGTATCTCTTCTCTGCCCCTAAAGAAGGTTGCGAAAAGGCCCCAAGCTAAGCAAAGGACACTGCCACTGAGCCCTCCTATGCCTAGGAGTAGAGAAGTCCCAAAGGAAAGAATGATGGCAATGTTACGCCCAAACAATGCTTGCGCTATGCGGCCTCCTTCGAGTCGGCCACAAGGAAGAAGGTTTAGTGATGTAACCACCATCCCTACACATATCAAATGCCTGAAGTTAAGAGTCCAAATATATATATCTACATCTTCATATGGATCCATCTATCAATATTAATATTTGTATGAATACGTAAGGTTGAGGAAGATGGCTATGGCAAAAGAGAGAGAGAGAGAGAGAGAGAGTTTCAAAGACATTATTTCTACATATTTTTAGAACTTGGGGGAATTTTTCTGCAGTTAACTGGGATATGAAATGACACACACCTAAAAGTCCAGCAAACGCAAGGGGATCCCCAGGCACCCCAACGCCCTCCACAGCATAAGGCAATACATTCCCAAGATCATCTGCATATGGGCCTATCACATATTGGATGAATGACAGTAATGGATTGTTATAGAAAAACTGCGGCCTTATGTACCTGCAAAAAAGAACTAAAAAAATGTCTTGGGTAAATTTTCCCCAAATCATTGTCCAATACTCATCCATACATGAAAATGTAATCTTGATCAAGATGTGAACAGTCCCTATGATGTGAAAAACAAAGTAGGGAGGTACTATAAAATCAACAGAGTTTGTGCAATAGACTTACAAGGCATTGTCTCCTCCATTAAAGCTTCCATCAGCCACAAAAGCTGAAACTACAAGGACTAATGATGTCAAATATGCACTAGCAGTTCGGGCAACAAGGATATCAAAGAGGGCTTTCTTATTTGGAAGAAGGGATTCATAGTTATTGATCACACCAAGACAACCAGTCCAGTTAGATGGGACTAGGAAAGATGGGCTAAGTTTAACCCCATAGCGAGCAGCAGTTACTCTTGTGGCAATCTGTCAAGATCAAATACAAGTAACAGGGGTCCACATCAGGACTTCATAAACAGCAACATAGTTTCCAAACAATTTCCACATAAATATGTCTTTAAGGCAGTGGCATAGTGGTAGAGACCTCTGATTTGTAGGCATAAGGTCAGGCGTTCAACGCTTGAAAGACCCTAAAAGACCAAGCTCACCTACCCTTTTTACAGGTAACAAACTCTGAGATGACAAAGAATCAATGGAAGAACAAAAAAAAAACAATCTCAAAACTCACAAAAAGACAAAGTATTTATTTCCCAAATGGCTTCTAAGCCAAAAGAAAAAAAAAAAAAGGCCTCGACTTTTACCTAGTGGAAGGCACCCCCGGTTTGTGGGCAGTAGGCCAAGGGTTCAACCATTGAAGATCCAAATATGCAAAGCTGACCTACCTTTTTGCTTGCATATAATAAACTCTGAGACGACAAGATATCAATAAGAGAATAGAAAGAAAAAAATGGTCTCACTTGAAGGCATGAATTTGACTTACCATTCAAATGTCTACTAAGCAATTTCCATGTTATATACTCGAAAAGGCAAGTCATTGCAAAAAAATATGAAAAATTTTCTCAGAAAATGATGAAATTGACTATATTTACTACTTCTAAGAGTAATGATAGGAGGGGATAGTCAAGGCGGAAGTTGACACTATGGACAGTTTTCACTGTTTTTGTTCGATTCCCAACCAAATCAGTATCCACTAGATCAAAATATTTCCTCTCATGCTTCTTATGATGTGAGTTCATAGGAAGCACTAGAATGTGGTATACAAAGTGATGTTAACATAGGACATCCCTCAGGACCGCAAAAAAGTTTTCATTGTAAGTGCCCAATGTTATCCTATTTGATATTGCAAAATGTATCCTTATGTGTGGAAATATGTTCATTCGACTACAGAATGATAAAAAAAAATTCCTAATAAACAAAAACATTAGAAAACATGTCTAATTTACTATTAGCTGCCGGTATACAACTAGGAATGAAAAAACAATAACAAAAGACATAAATACCACAAGGGAAATATAGCACCAAACAGACCCCCTCAATGCAACTAGTCAACTAAGGACATAGAAAGGGAGATAACACAATTAAAGTGGTTGGCAAGATTATGAGAGGCAGAAACCAAAGCAAGAGTTATAACACCAGGAATAAACCACGACTGAACAAATTGACAGTAAACTATAATATGCCTGACCTACACATGGGGGAAGCAATGTGGATGGTTTGATTGAGGTTACAACAAAAGAAGTAGGTGCCTTCAATTGAACATTGAATTCTACAAAAGGGAAGTGGAGCCATAATCATGGAAAGGGTGTTGATAAGTCTATACCTGAGTTCGACAGATGTCCTCCGTCTGCTTATTTGAAAATATGAATGAAATGGCAAGGATTATCAAAAGCATGTACCAAACTAAACTTTATCATGAATTGGCTCATTGAGAGTCCATATAAGCAACAGTCTTAGGTAGAACAAGAAGTATATATACATATATTGAAAACCCTAAAAATCACAAAAAAAGCAGTATGGACACTACCTTAGGTCACTAAGGATAAAAGGTAGATAATGTAGAGGGATTGTCACATATGCATGACAGTTCATGAGCCAAAAGAGGTCATTATCAATAATAAAACACAGAGAAAGAAACAATTAGTTCGACAGTCTTCCCAATAATCACCTCTGATATTTGGGCATTGCCCAGATAATATTATGAAAGATTTGTTGGAAGTTTTGCCCGACATAGGAAATCTATGTTTAATATAAATTGAGATTTACCATACAAATATTTAACTCGAATAATTAGAAAAACGAATGTGACACATACCTCAGAAATGCCTAAAATGGAGAGAAATCCACCAAAAAGAGGCAACACATTAGCAACGTAATCATCGAAAGGCGCATCAGGCTTGAGAAAGAAGCCGCTAACCAAAGCTATAGTGCTGAAGGTTGCAACGCACAAGACAACGGCACTGATATAACCCCATGGAGTGCTCAGTTTGGTTGACTCAAATTGCAGATCTAGTTCAGCTTTTGGTTGCACCACACAAACCTTAATGACAAAGACAAACACATAAATAAGTAAAATCCTATATTCCTCCAAACACAAAGTTAGCTTATAGGGGTACACTTCATATTACAAATTCTTGCACAAACCACCCATAAGAAGACCAAATTCAATGCACAAAATATGTTAATGGGTTTTGTTTGGAGAATATGAAGCATGATAATGAGTAAGTAGTTCTTAAAGTTATTTGAGTGTGATGCATTGAAAGTGGGATCCAGAGTGATCGGAATACCAACATTTAAAAACTAATATACTCTGATAAATTCTGCAGATCAATTATTAAAATCTATGAATATGAGCTCAAAATACAATTTTAGTTGCCCTGAGCAAAACCAATGCACTCAAATCTTGTCTTCAGTCAGTTAATGCAACAGAAAGAATACATGGGAAGATAAAAATCCTACAAATGTGAGTTCAGATTGAATAATTAATTGCCCTGTTCAAAACAAAGATTTTTTTTTTCCTATTGGTTCATTTGCCAAGAAGACTACAGGAAAGATAAAATCTCTAAATATAGGGCTTATAATGAATCTGAATCACCCTAATCACATCCAAGATACCCAAATTCCTGTTTCTCCTGTTGGCGAATTTATCTAAAAAAGAATACAGGCAGGTAATTCAATGTCCTGTCCAAAAATTACTAAACTTAGCAAGAGAAGAGTCTCTTTTAACGCAATGAATGCCCACCTGCTTTGTAATGTCATTTGTTTGCTCTTGCATAAACTAGAGAACCACTTCTCGGTCTGCTGCCTGTGATAGCTTCTTCTCTAACTTGGGCATCACTTCTTCAATGGGTTTTCACAAATTTCCGATAAAAATGCCCCCATCTCCAAATCTTCGAACATCAACAGCAAAAAATGTGTCATACCCAAAACAGCTCTTCAACTGTAGATGCAAATGTAACTACAGTATTTCAGAAAATAAGACTATTTATCTCCATCTCACTCTCTCTTTCTAAATAAGTGCTTACCTTGTTGAAATCCAAAGCCTTAAAAGTTTCCTCTGCCTCTTCCAACTTCTCTTTCTTTCTAGCCAAACTGTCTTTAATTATGTTAGAGAAGAACATGGTTAGTGGGTTACCACCTGATGCTCTGTCAAGTTCCTTGAGCTTTCTATCAGCTCTCTTCTTCTCCAATTTAATGGCTGCTTCAATAGAAGGATTCCCCATAAATTTCTTGAACTCTTCATCAGCCTTCCAATCAACTTCTTCGGGTTCATCACGCCCATTTCCTTGTTCTTGAGAAGCAGAAGAAGATAAGCCGTCTTCTTTCTCAGTATAAATCTTCTCCGGAACAACTGTAGTAGAGGAAGATGGAGATGAGGACTCCTCATTTACAGAGCAGCTAACAGAATTTCCTCTTCTGGGCTTTCTAGAGAGAGAAAAGGAGAGATTGTTGGTTCTCTTAAATGGGTTTTTTGTATGAAGGGTTCTGCCATTAGAGTTTGTGAGAGACCATGAGGAAGTGAGGGAAATTGATGCCATTTCAGTAGTTCAGAGTGCTGGTCCAGAAATGTGAGAAAAAGAAGAGTGAGAAAGAGGAAAGATGAGATTGTGAATAGATCCATGGAGTTGAAAGAGCATGGAATTGGAGAGCGAGGAGAAGAGAGAAGAAAACTCTAGAAGTTTGAGAGAGAGTAATAGATGGATGAAAGAGTGTGGATATACTGGATTGAGAGTGGGGCCTTTTTATGGATAACACATTGTTGAAGATGACTTTATAAAGTTTGAAAAACAGTTAAAATATCCGTTATAACGGTAATGGCCACATCTAATAGCAAAATATCAACCAGTACTAGAAAATGGAAGTGAACCAGAACTTTCCCCCTCTTCCTCCAAAACCATTGTTACCAATGTTACTTTATCCTCTTACAACCACCCCTTGCTTCCTTTCTTTTTCTCTCCTCTTTTCCTATATTTGATCGAAAAAGTGTATATAGAGCCGCGGCTCTAAACAATCAAATTAGAGCCCATCTCAATGTTTTGATGCTCAAATATCTTCAAATTAATCATTTCAACATCAAGATGCATAAACATGAGGAAAATGTGGATTTCAAGTTTTGGAAATAGTGCATTGTATTTGTAATACATTTTCTTATTGTTAATTTTCAAGACTTTCACGTTTTCATAGATATGCTTGATCTACATTATTTTTTAAGCTTTAAATTTTATTAATTAAATATAAAAACATATTTTAAGACTATCACAATGATTTTCAGTATTGAAACCACATTTCTTGATACTATTCGAAGATGGGCTCTAATTTGATTGTTTAGAGCCTCGGCTCTATACAAACTGCACCTAATAAGAGCCCACCTTTCTAGAAATGTAGGATCAAAAACGGAAATTTTTGTAAAAACGTTAAAATATATTTTCATAATTATTTATAAATAAACTTAAAAGAAAATTTGACAGTCCAAAAATGTGTTACAAGATGCACTATTTTCAAATCTTGAAATCTTTTTTTTTTTTCTTCATATCCATGCATCTTGATATCGAGATGATCAGATATTTGGCCACCAATACAACCTCTTCTAATAAAATTTTGAGGTGGACTCTAAGTTGATTGTTTTGAGCCTTCGGCTCAAAATAAACTTTTTCCTATTCGATATTACCCGATTTCGTCCTTTTCGCCACCATTAATCTCTCTCTCTTTCTAACCTCAGCTACGCAATCACGCCTTGTAGTGGCGGTGTTTTGTAGGACAAGAACTATGTTCTTCAAAAATGCAGGAGGAACAGGGCACACCATTTGTTTCTTGCCCTCTAATTCTTTGACCCTATTTATGGTTTTCAATGGTGGTCCACAATTCTTATAATGCAGTGTGTTGCTTATTTGATTTTTCATACAAGTTTTAATGTAGATCATCTATTTGCAACAGCGTCGTAGGCTCAATTGCTACCAAGGGTAGGGGCGTCTCCCCACTGACTCACTCAAAAAAAAAATTTTTAATGTAGATCAAGTTACCGAAGCTATGAAGACTAAATTAAACATAATATTACTTATATAATATAATGTGAGGTGTACACCATCGCCATATGGCAACTCTTAGTAACTCGTGGGAGTCCGATTTGACTCAAGTGAGTTATAGATCATAGATGTAGATTTTTGTGATTTAATATTATTTATACTCAAAAGTTTTGGCCAGCAATGAGTTCCAGGCTTTGTTTTTGGGCCTAAACTCATCCCAGAGTGGGGAAGGAAGAGAAAGGATCCCGTCGAATTGAAGTCGGGGAGAGAGTCAAGCCAGACAACCCTTCCTCGCTTAGACGGCCGACAGAGCCGACTTTTAGAATCAGTTTGAGGATTTTGGAAATCGGGTTAAAGGAGGAGGCATTTGGAAAAGATTTGAAATAGAGTTAAAATAAAACAAACAAAGGAAAGAAAGAAATGGATAAAGTAAAATAATCCTGAAGCTAGGCCTCAGGGCCCGACACCTGGAGACAGCGCCAATTCAATATCATTCAGAATGAGGATTTTCTTGAAGATTTTCTTGAGTTGTCAAAGATTTGCTGATTGAAGTCTATAAGTTGTTGGGATTTGAGGATTGAAAGATAGGAAAGGAATTATGGTTTTTGATTCGAGTTGGCTGATTTAGGGTTCGAACGGGCAAAGTCTAGGCATCTTAATTGGAAATTTGATAAGTTTCGAAATCTGCATCCAATGCTGAGATTGAATCTGGGTCATTGATGGCCATTGCGGCTGTCAATGTCACCAACGAAACTGTGACCATCGTTTGCCCGTAATGACTACAGTTGCGTAACAAAGTATCTTGATGTTACAGCCAGCGTGATTTTGGGTGGTGCCGTGTTGTATACATAATGACTTGCCATATGCGTTGCCCATATTCGAAGCTCCATTTGCATGTTTTTGGGCTGAAATGAGGCTTTCAAATTCGTCGATGAGGGTTGTACCTTCGGCAAATCATGATGATGCCAACTGTCCGCCTGGGAACTTGTTCTTGGGTGGTGGTCTCGTCCAATCAAAAGCTGATAGGTTGGTCAACGAAGCTGCCAATGTCTTCCTGTTAATGATGGTGTAATCATTAGATGTTATTTCCTGCATTCCGATGTCTGGCATATGGCGGTTGCTTTAGCCAATTAGGAAGTGATGATGTTGCCATTTGCGTTGACGCAAATTGGATGTCCGTTGTTTGTAATGATTAATATTTCCCTCATTCCGTTGTCAAGCGGGTAAACTGTTGTTTTTGACCAATCAAGAGCTGGTGAGGTTGTGAGGTTCATCAACGCCAATTGTACCTCTATTTTCGATAATGATAATAGTTCCCTTATTTCGTTGTCAGGTCTAGACCGCCTTTTTGGCCAATCAGATTTTGATGTAGTTATTATCTGCATCAATGAATTTTCAACGTAAGTTGCATTCACCATCGCCTTAAAATGGGGGTAGAACCCGCATTAACGACAATGTCCTTTTCGTCCCCTTTCTTCCCTTTTGGAGTCGCCTAAAGCTGCTTTACTGAATTTTGACTTTTGCCCATTGTTGAGCTGTGAGGTATGGTTCTTTTAGGTGTTGGGAAGGGGTTTAGGTCTATGGGATGGTTGCTTTTGGAGATTTTGGTTTTCATACGGTTTTCTCAATCAGGATTGAAGTGTCTACAAATATATATTGATTTTATGTGGGGATCTAATTTGAGTTTTTGATGTTTCTTGTACGATTTACATAGCAGTGGCATGACTTATCAGCAACATAGACTCGTAGAAGTGCTACTGACCTCACCCACAGTGCACAATGCTGAGCCTTTGAGCTACATTGTTGCCGTGTGGCCTAATTGAAGCTTATATAAACCGGGATTGTCTATAAAGAAACTATTTATCTTTTGTACATCAAAATCATTTGATGTCAAATTCGATAGCTTGGGGTGGGTCATGAAGTCTGAGAATTTTTTTTTTAGGAACTTTGTGTCTATTCAATGACACTCTTACCACTATCCATTTTGAAATTTAAGGGACAAAAATGATTGTGACCTCCATGTATAAAAGATATATGGTCTCTTTATAATTCAACAACTTAAACTTCACATAAAATCACAGGAAATCAACCAAAAATCCCTTAAGCTTGAGAAACTTTAACCCTAGATCATCCATACCTTAGTTCATTCAAACCTCAGAACTAGGAAATCTTGGAGTAACCCTAATCCTCTACAACCCTTAGATGAACATGTCCTAGGTACTTTTCAAGCAAAATTCTGGGGTTTGAGGATGCAGGCGCTTCAACTGCTAATCTCATTCGCGCCACCAACTCCGGGCGTCGGGTTAGAGGGATCGGATTTCAAATAAGTTTTCTTTGTAACTTTTAATTTATTCTATTTCTTTCACAGATCATAGACAGAGAACATTCAAAAAAAGAAAACGTCATAGAAATTTAGTATTATATAACTGAAGACAAATGATTTTCAAGGTGACACCACAAATGAATGTGTTTCACTACCATGATAGCACCTTCCCTGATGCGATATTGGGGTTTACAGGAAAGAGGTCAATGCCTCAATTATGCAATCCAATTGTGCTAATTTAATCTTTAAACTTTTCCTTTTCTTTGTCTCGAATGACTTGGTTTGCTTGACCGTTTAAACTGTTCTATTTTTAATATTACCTTCCTAATTTAAGTTCCATATGTGATTATACCTGGCATCGCTACCCATTGTTCATTAAATTCATGAAACACGGGTTGTTGTCATCCTTTTTCCTAGCCCATACACCCAAAATGTAAAATGAACAGAAACAGTGTGGGGCTCCAAGTTATATTCATGCTACATTGATACATGAAAGATAATACCAAACCTAAAAAGGCAAAGTTTATATAAGGTGTCAACCTTATACTGTACAAGTAAGGCGCATCTAAAAAACCCACTAGAGAAGGTTGTTCCTATGTTGGAAAACTCAACTCTCAAATCAATCATCTCGACCTCGAGATTTATAGACATAAAAAAAAAAGATTCCTAGCCCTACAAATTAGTTCATTTTCTAACAATGATCTGGACTGTCTATTTTCAAAATTTTTAAATGTTTATAGATCTGCTTGATCGTCACCATTTCTAGAACGTTAAATTTTATAATTGGGGGCAACAATGGATTTCCATATCATCGCAAGGCTGAACGGCATTGAAATTGCATTTTTGACATATTTTTGAGGTGCACCTTACTTCAATAGTATAAGGTTGATACCTTATACAAACATCTCCCTTCAGAAAAGGGTTTGCTTGCCACTAGGTGGCTTCCCTCTATTATGTAATATTCAAGTTAGAGAAAGCCTCAGGCACACAATATGACTTCTTGCATCAATTTGCAATTGTAAGAAAACCTTAATACATACAATTCAACAAGGGATTGTCACAAGATGACTTGCTTCTTACATCAATTTGCAATTGCAGGAAAATCTCAGATATACAACTCATTGTCACAAGGTGACTTCCTTCTCACGTCAGAAAACGTTAACAGAATTCAGAAAAGATTCTCAAAAAGACTATCTTTTCACATAAATTTGAAAGAGAGAAACTCTATATGCATTTAGGTTTCAAGAGCAAGTTGCTTGTAGCGATTGAGGTCGCTCAAGTACCGTGATGACGTATAGTCATCTCCGTCAAGAAAGAGTTGGCTCCCAACCAATGTCTTTGGTTGTTGAACAAATGTCTCGGCCATCAGATCCTTACCCTTTAGGAGCCTCACCACCTGCACCAAACCATGTCTTCTTAGTTAAAAGGGTCCAAACCACTTAAAAAGGGATTTTGACAGCTTTTAAGGGTTGAAAGGCCTCACCTGATTCATGCGTGGTCGTGATATTGCTAAATGGTGGACACACAACGAGGCAGTAAACATTATGTATCCCATTTGCCGAGTGTTGTAGGTATCCCCAAGTCTGGGATCCGCCAATTCCTTCATTTTCTTTGCATCTAGCAATGGCTTTGCCTGAAGAAATGGATCCACGAACAAGTAAGAATGTTTGATGAATTGTCGAAATATGAGGAGTATCAGGTTAAAAGCAAGAGAAGGTATTACCCACATCACGAGGCTCTGCAGACAAGAATCGACGGCCCGTCGCCCAGTGATGAGCTCGAGTAGAAGAACACCAAATGCAAACACATCTGTTTTCTCGTCAACGATGCCATGCATGAAGTATTCAGGTGCAAGGTACCTATTGCAAAAGTGATATGAGAAAGAGGAAAAAGAAGAAAATCTTTGGGCTTTGTTTTTGAATTTCAAACTTCCAACGCAATATACAATTGATAGCATGAATTTGATAATAGATACACAAGATGAGCCTCATGTTGCTGTGAGTTTCTTAACATGTATCCTTAAAATCAAAGAAGTTTAGGATGACCTATCATACACGAAAATCAAATATACATAGTATGATAAACTCAATTATAAAGGGTTGTTTGTTCTCCAAACAAATAATCTTGAACCATAGAACCAAGAGGCTTTGGTTTCTAATAGTGAGTGATTCAGTGAGGTTTTTGCATATTGGAATAGTTAAGGAATATTCTTTAATTTAGAGTAATGACGAATTTGCCGAACCCGAATGTGCCTTCGATGGGAGAAACTACATGGTGGGTCCACTGATCAGGCAGCCACTTTGCCAACCCAAAATCTGAAATCTAAAAACATAGAAAAGAGAACCTCAAATATTAAAAAAATGATGTATAAAATAAAATCCATGAAAGGTATAGTTAATAAAGGAAATTGAGAAATTTTCTCATTCTTTGACTAATGGACACAATGTTCACTTTTTTTTAGCTGGCCACAATGTCCCTTATGAACATAAGTTTTAGGGCCCTGAATACTGAAATAAAATTTTTGAACAGTGGAAGTAATCTAAATTAGTTACCTGTGGTTGAAAATCTTGAGCAAGCAAGATATTAGATGCCTTAATATCCCTGTGAATGATCCTTCTATGGCAGCCTTCATGAAGGTACATCAACCCCTCTGCTATCCCCAAGGCTATCTTGTACCTTATCCCCCATTCTAGCTCTTGATTAGTACCTGAAATTTTAATATTCTCTTCTGAAACATACATGAATATTAGGGAAATTTAGCAAATATGTAAAACAAAATTTTTTGCATAACTCTTCGTCCTTGTCAACAAGGCTGAAATGCAACTCCACCACCGTATTAGTAAGCATGAAATAGCATAAAATTCATAGGTGAATAGCCTTGTCCTTCTTTTACTACTGGTTTTGTTGTTGCTCTTGTTCTTACAGGGTAACTGGAGAATCCTATTTCCTAAAAAATTGTAAAAAAGCCATAAGGACACTTTTTATGAGGATAAAAATTCATTTCCTTGTTAAAATATGCCATGGCTCCCTATAATCTCAAAAAAATGAATCACATTGCCTATTTTGACATATTATCACTGGTTTTAGCTAAATCTTAAATCAATATAGTCTTCCAATATGTGTGTGTGTGAGTATCTCTTTTCTTTTCAATTTAATTGGTTCTTATTTTGTACCGTGAAGCACAGACGATAAGCTGCCATGAGGGGAGAACTGTAGAACAAGGTGAAGCCCTCCTTCGACACCAAACCCTATCAAATGCGCCGCATTTGGATGGTTTATGTGTGCAATGATCCCCAACTCCGATAAGAAATCTCCAATCCTCTCATCCTCTCTCTCCCTCTTTATTAACCTCTTAACAGCTACAAGTTGTCCATCTACTAAGATTCCTTTGTAAACTTCTGCATGCCCCCCCTTTCCTATCAAATTCTCTGTCCAAAATTCCCTCTCTTAGAATCATCACAACACCATTGTCGAATAAATTAAATGATAGAAACAATACAAAATATAGACAAAAAAAAGTGAAGCAATTCCGATATTAATGAAAATTTTGATATTTAAGACTAACAATGAGAATAATAACATAATGGAGAAAAAAGAAGTCAATAAAGCAAATATCAAAGGAAAATAAAGACTGGAAGAAAAGCATGAATTAAAAATTCACTTAAAAACAAAAGTGAAAGACAAAGGAAGTTAAAAGTAAAACATAAAGAAAAATAAATAAAAAACATAGTTGGAAGAATATTTTGGTTAGGTGAAGTGAAACAAAGCGGCACAAACATCTATGAATAGCGGCAGACATAGTCTTGGATTTTGGGCCAAATTCACCTTCACCAAACCTTTTTCTAAATTCTTTGAACCCAAAAGTTTTAAGAGCGTGTACACGAGCAGGAGCCTACTGTACATCTACTCTCTCGTGCAAAACACTAAGAGAGAACTTTTGAATTTCAAATTTTGGGATTGGCATTAAGATCACCAGTAGCCCCAAGCAAAAAAAAAAAAATAGATACTACTTTTTTTTATGTTTTTGGGGCTCTGAAGTCCTAAGGGCTCGGTCCTTGGCTAAGGGCCAAATACCTTGGCCGAGTCAATTTTCGGTATACTATTTGAAGAAAGTGTTCAATCCTTGGTGTTTTCTCAATTGTGTTCATTCTTTTCTTGTTTGCTTTATTTTCAATGAACTAAAGCCGTAGAGGGTGGAGACCACGGTGAAATGGGGCCCAGCCTACTCCATGGTTCCGTCTCCACTATCACGAGTGGAGATTCACATGCATAGTAAGTGTACTCCGTCATTCCCCGAAAATGGAAAGGGGACCTTCTCATGAAAGAGATGCATAGATGCACAGTGGATGCCCAAAGCATCCAAGCCGTCAATCCCATGAACTGTTGAATCTCTACTGTTGGGTTGGGCCCGCAACGGTTAGGCTTGCATAGTCAATTTAGGTGCATCTAAAGTATCATTGACTAAAAAGAAAATTCGGTATGGAACCCGGCCCTACTTAAAACTCAACTTTTGAATTTTTGAAAACAATGACTAGACCACATTGCAGGTCAAAATCGGACAATCTGTGTTTGAACTTGGATTCTAAAGAGTGACTATCAATCTATAAACTTTATATCATAAAGAAAACACAGTGAATTCTGATGAAATTATATAAAAAAATCACAGTAAATTCCGATGAAATTTTCAAACTTCTGGTTTTTATTAGTAGTGAATTCTTGGAAGGTTTTCAAAACTTTTGTTTTTCTTCAAAATTCTTAAAAATAGAAAGGGGAAACTTTAGAAATAAAAAGGAAAGCCTACAAGAAAACCAAAATTAGAAAGACAAAATGAGACTTTTTGTTCTTGGATTAAAAAAAAGAAATTTTACTCACATAGCCTCCAAAATATCATTATTAAAAAAATCCTCCTTAAATTTTCAATTTTATTTTATTTTTGATTTTGCCCAAAATAATCCTATCTCAAATCTTCAATATCTGAATTCGTATGGAAATTTCGGATTTCGAAAATCTGAGAGTTTTGCTAGTTCCCAAGGAACAAAGGGCCGATGGCTGGAGTGTTATGGAAACAAAATGAATTCTGGAAATTTTGGATTTTGAAAATCCGAAGACAAAATTTTTTTATTTTGAAAGGTTGAAAGATTTTCAAAATCTGAAACTTCTTTTAGGCACCTTAAATTCTTGAAATTTGAGACCTATTAAAATTTCAATTCTGCTAGATCCAACAATTTTTCAAACTTAAGGCTCAATAAATTTTTTATCTTGAATATCAAGAAATATTGGTAATTTGATCATTTAAAAAAATTACAAAAAAAAAGTGTACGAATGTAATAAGTAATAACTAACAAATTGATAATATAGGTGAAATTTTCTATTAAAAAAATTGGCAATAGACTTAAATTTGGATATAGTTTGAAGCCATATTTTTTCATATCTCATGAATGCTTACTCTATTTAGCAGTGTCTATCCAAGGGATTTTTATTTAAAAAATTAATTAATTAACAATCCAGCAATATTGGTGAGAAATTCTCAAAGAATGAAAAAAGAACGAGTGTTTTGAATGATTAACCTGAACTGAAATTGTTAGTAGCAGACATGAGTTCTTCATGATCAAAGCATCTCCATGAAGCCTGAGGCCTCAAAACAGGGAGCTCTTCTTTCTCCTCTGTGTCTCTGATTCGAACCCAATTCCTCTTTCCTCCGAATGGTGGAAAGGTAGAGAACTTTCTCATCGATTTATGCTTTAAAGCATTAACCAGAGACCTCCACTGTAATCCATGGTGCTCTGAAGTTGGAGTTTTAATGGCGATTGAAGTTTCTGTATCTCTGTTGCTGCTACTGCTACTATTGCTATCAGAATCAAGGCCTAAAACTGGGATTTCAAGGACCCCTCGAGGGGAGCTCTGGTCTGTATTCTTGTAAGTTTTGGGAGATGAATCCTGTGTTTCTTCTTGGTCCTTTGCATGGTTCTCCATTTCTGAATTTGTTTTGGTTTTGTGAGATGAATTCTCCGTTTTCTCCTGGTCTTTCTCATAGCTTTCCTTTTCTGAAATTGTCTCGGTTTTGTGAGACGAATCCTCTGTTTTTTCTCGGTCCTTCTCACGGTTTTCCATTTTCTCTGCAAATATGTGTAGAATTCATCAGTACCCATTTGAGACAATTGGTTAAACTATCCATTATCATAAACTAATTGGAATCCTTGAAACTGATCAGATTCAAATAGATGTTTTGGATCGTGGTTTAGCCTATTTTCAGCCTGGTTTCGTCAGGTTTTCGCTTTTCAGAGATATCATTAGAAGTAGAACCCACCACCAGAAAAGAATTTAAAAGGGGGAAATCAAAACTTACTCCAACCCTTCATCAGATTGTATCGTATTAGAAACTGAATTGAATGTGCAAAATCTGCAGCAGAACCTATTATCACAACACATTTTAGACTATGAACCAGCCAAATTCGAGTGAGAGGTTTAGAGATTCAATTTTTTTCTGACTTACCTGTGTTTAAATTTAAAATGAAAGTCTTTATAATCCATCAAGTGAAAAAACTGCATAAAACTAGATGAATTCGGCAAATTATGTACTCAATTCAGCAGCAAAACTTACACTAAGATCATCAGAACACAAAGTATGGACCTTTTTTTCCATATAAAATGAAACAAAAATTGCAATTTACAGGAGTAAAAGGAAAAACCATTAGTGCCCATTAAGCAGAAACAACATAAAACTCGAAGAACAACCAATTCAACTAAAAATAGCATCAAAACTTACGCTAATATCATAAACTTTTTCTGGGTTTTCAATCAAATTAAAGTTAAAGAAACATAGAAGACCACAAAAGAGAAGGCCATCTAAAATTCTTAAAAGCTAACCAAATTACACAGCTAAACTCACTCTTATTTTCATCAGATTCCATTGGTTGTGAAACCATTGGAATTACAGAGAGCTTTGAACAAAACTGGGAAACTGCAGAAGGACTAGTGCTTATCTATCTTTCATTTGTTGGACATTGAGAAAGCTTCATAGATTGGGAAAGAATAAGAGATTGAGTGAGAGACAAAACAAGAGAGAAGAGAGAGATTTCAAATACAAATATTCTCAAAACTATCTTGTGTCACACATAGGATGAAGACAGAATCCATTGCACTTGCTAACATCTAGAAGTGCATTTATAGCAAGGATGGTGTTTCACACGTGTTAAAAGTCGTTAACACGTGTGTCCGTCCTGAGATATTAACCTGAATAATGGACGGTTGAGATTGGAGAAGTGATCTGAACCGCTAGCTCGTATTTCATAGTCTAAATTCTAAAGTTTCAAACTTAATGACTACAAACTATTGAAGAAAGTGCAGTAAATAATGTTATTCTTGGCATTAATTGCCAAAAGAGATCCCCGTTGCTTTTAATAATATTAAAGATAGACCGTCATACCCCTCAGACTTTTGAATTCCTTGTCTCATGGTCTTTTTTTTTCGCGCTTTCAAAAATCAATAAAATTTAGCAAACTATACATGGGATAAATTATTTGGAAAACTTTTTATAACTTTAAAATGTAGAATTCAAAGTGCACCTCAAAAATCCATCATAAAAGGATGTTTTTGGATGTTGGAAAATCCTTCTACTTGATCATCTTAATGACATCAAGATGTATAAATATGAAAAGAAAACAAGATTTTGTGTCCGTGAAATAGTGTATCTTGCAACACATTATTAGGACCTTTAATTTTCAAGATTTTTATGTGTTTATAGATCTACTTGATTTGAACCATTTTTAAAGTTTAAAATTTATAATTAGAAAAAAACCATCTTAAAAAAACTTTATATCAAAATTATATTTATGATAAAATTTAGAGGTGCGCCTCAATTAAATTGTTTAAGGTTGCAACCTTATACAAACCACACCCTTTTTTTTAACTTTATTTAATGCTTTTCCGTTTTGAACCTATTTCATCATGCCCCTTTTATGAAATATTTTAAAATTAAATAAAAATAGAAAATTGGTAATTATATCTTGCAGTTATTTTGATAAATTTCCCAAAATATGATACCTTATTTTCCTTTGCACGCTTGTAAAATAATAGCTTGAGACTAAGTCCACTATGAAGAACCACTGGTTAAGAATAACAACTGAGACCAAGCGCCCCACCATTATATAAACTTTTCATTTATTTATTATCCACACATGGATAATGATAATAAAAATTGGCCTTAAGCACCGATAATTTTTTTTTCCTTTGAAGCTTCAATAAAACAATTTGATTCAATTTCTAAAAACCCAGATCGGCCAGGTGAATTGGTCATCCGGGGTGGTGAATAGCAGATCTGGATCGGTGATGAGAGAGTAAGCTAATAAGAAATAAAAAAAATCAAGAAAAAATAAAAATAAAAAATGGTAAAAAAAAAATGGTTATCTCACAAAACTGGTCAGTTATGTTATAGAACTGATGTGGTCAGTTCTTGACTGGAACCACCTGAATCCTGATATATTGAAAGAATCGGTCTGGACCACTGAAAACTGAAGCAGATCAGGCTGGATCCACATTTTTCAAGACATTGATTTGATCAACAGCATATTTTATTGCTGGAAGTCTTCGATCAAAGAATCAAAACATGGAACATTTATATTTAAACTCGGGCTTCCACGAGAGCAAGCATATTCTTACTCCATGTTTAAGATTGTTTTCTCTCTCTGAAATTTTGGGATCCTAACTAGATAGGTATTTTCAATGAAAATCACTAAATGAGTGTTTTCAGTGAAGCAATTTGAATTTAAATTCTTAGATTTGATCGTCAAAAAGCGTTATAATATCCATTCAATCCTACGACAGTCATGCATATGTAACATGAGTATGATTTTTTCTTTTTCGCTTTTTTTTTATATTCCTTTGTTTTTCTATATGTTGTTCAGCTAGGTTGAGGATGTTACCTCCCGTAAATTTGGCGTCTTAAAAATACTCATACATGTGACCGCAGAAATTTAGAATGGGACTCTATACAATGAGACAATTTACCTTTGATACAAGGAGACCACAAATATTTATAACCATTTGATATGAAATCTAATAGATTGGGTGTGTCACAAAGTTCAAAAAAAGTTATTTTGAAGTTTGAGCTTGGTCAATAGAATAAATACAACCATCTAATTTCACATCTAAAAATCAAGATTAATTGTGGCTATCTTATACCAAAAGATACAAGGCAAGATCTCATTATATACTTTTCCTTCTAGAATTTATTGGTGATTAGGATGTTGGTACAATAAATACCCTCGTTGCAAGTTGTAAATCGAATTTTCCGTTTGATTAAAATCAATTTTTATTTGTTTTATTAATTCCCCAAGAAAATAATAACAAGCATATTAAAACCTTGAATCCATTGTTGGATTGGCCCTCAGGTATATTGATGCAGATCAACAATCCCGAATCAACATGGTCAAAAAAAAGTAATAAAATAATACAAATTAAAATAGAAAACAAATTTGGTGGGAAGTGCTCAATTTTCTCATCCGGGTCAATGATTCTACTGACAATAAAGCCTGAGCCTCTAATAAAACTGACCAATTATGTAAAAGAACCTAGTTAGTCCCCTCCCAAATTTAATCTACATCGATGATTCCTAATTTGAATGCGAGATTTTTAGAACCCATTAGAATTTTTTTTTTCCCCTAATGAACATTACCGAGCAGAAAACAATCAAATTAGTTCACTGGGTTTTAAGATTTCTTATATTTCTACAATGAAAAGGCCGGCAGTTTATCTATTATGGATTCCAAAATTGAAAGGGTTATATTTTTTTTATTAGATTTCTTATATTTCTACAATGAAAAGACCGGCAGTTTATCTATTATGGATTCCAAAATTGAAAGGGGCATATTTTTTTTATTTGCACATGATTTTTTCATCAATTACTTAGCTTCACCTTCACACTAAAGGTGAGGGAAGTGGGTGAACGAACCCTAGTGTAGGGGTTAAACAAGGGTTAGCTAACCCACCCCAGTTGTGTTCTTGTTAGAGATGGCGTCAAGTTAACCTCGTCACTTAACTAAAAGCTTTAAAAAAAAAAAAAATGAAAATATTTTAAAAGTTTGCTTAAAAAAATAGCTTGAAAATAATTTAAAACTTTATTTTTTAAAATATTTAGAATATTTTGTCGCTTAGCCCAAAATTTGAGGAATTGATTATGCTGATGTGGTCACCCTCAAATGGTCAACTTTATCCTCTTTGGTTAGTTTTTGAACTACATATTGGAAAATTTGCCACAAAGAGCCTGTATACCCTCGAGGCATGGGTAAAACTTACACCTTTTCCTAATGGCAAATATGAAATTTTGGTAGGTTCGACATCTTTGGTGCAAGTCTATAACAATCCCACCCCAAATAGCAGCCACTATGGACAAAACAATGAAAGCGCTAGTCCAATGCCATGTGGTATATGATGCTCCAAGGTTATCTCACCGTTGATTCCAAAGTATGGATGGTTGGAGATCAACTGGATGGGACGCACGACGAGAAGATTCACTTTTTTTTTTTTTTTTTTTTGTGGATCAGTGGAAATTACTGCTCCTACCCGTTTTTTTTTTAAAAGAGTCAATTTTTTTTAAAATGTTAATGAGAATAGAGGCCTCAACTTCTACCTTCGGTTCAGGTGGTACTACCACCACGAGTCTAATGCCATTCTCACAAGGAAATTTACTTACACTTATTTTCTAACCATCTATCAGTGGGAATTGGTACTAGATGTTGCTTAAAGTACCATGTGAGATTGCACAAAGAGAAGGTCGAGAAGAATTCAACATAACATAAGCACAAGTCTTAAAAATGTTTTTGTTACAAAAAAGTAATAAATAATCCAAGTTTTCTATCAACTCCCTAACCCCAATATTTAAATAACTTTGAACCCAAAAACTTACAAAGATTATTGTGAGCTTCTAGCCATCTAAATCATTTCAATCTCCACCATCAAGTCTTATCTCAAAGATACTAAATAAACACAAAAGCATAAAACTCAAAAGCAAATCTATTTCCGGCTTCCAAAATATGTACAAAAAAATAACATCCAAAACATGGGGATCATAATTTTTGCATGATGTGCTATGGATCATACACCCATATTTTGGAGATGTTCTTGTAATTTATAGGGATTTTCAATTCTTTATAAATGGAGCTCGATGGGATTTTTTAAGGCCACTCGGGGACTATGTCAAAGGGATCATCTCTCCCCTTTCTTTTTTACTATATATGCAGAATGCTTCAGTTTAATGCTTACCAATGTAATGAGGAATGATCACTTTGCAGGCTTTCAAATGCCTAATGGGGGACCGTGTCTTTCACACTTGAAATATGCTGATGATATCCTTTTTTTTTGTGAAGCACAATAGGCGTAGGTTGCAAATATTGCTATTTTTTTGAAATGTTGTGAAGTTGCATTGGGTTTAAAGGTTAATTTTGGGAAAACAGCCATGGTGGGTATAAAATGCCCTGATGCGGAGGTTTCCTCCATTGCATAGGAGTTTAGTAGTAAGATTGAATTTTTCCCTATTACCTACTTGGGTATGCCAATTTCAGATGGTCATCTTCCTATTGCAGTATAAAAAAAATTTTGTAAGATTGAATTTTTCCCTATTACCTACTTGGGTATGCCAATTTCAGATGGTCATCTCCCTATTGTAATTTGGGATAAATTTTTGCAGTGCAACCAAGTTAAGCTAGATTTGTGAAAATTTAAGTATTTATCTTTTGGGGGGAGGATTACGCTCATTAAGGCATGCCTGTCAAACTTGCCTATTTATCAGATGTCTATTATACAAATTCCTGCTTCGATAGCAAAGAAAATAAGACTATGATAAAGAACTTTCTGTGGAGGTCCTTTGCGGAGAAGAAGAAGTTCCAACTTCGTCGCTCGATAGAGCGTGTATGCCTAAAAAGGAAGGGGGCCTTGGGATTAGGAAAATCAAACTGGTAAATCAAGCTCTGCTCTGTAAATGGTAGTGGAGATGTCTTACTCTTAAAGACCACATTTGGTACGAAGTGATTGCTTCAAAGTATGGAACAGATAAGTTTGGTATGTGGGTGGGGAATAGGAATGGAGTAAGGACATGTCAGTCAGCTGGAGGGCTATCAATTCGTGTAAAGACTTTATACATGGTGATATTCGGTGGTGTGTGGGTAATGGTTGTAACATCTCCTTTTGGCATCATAAATGGTTGGGGGACTGCCCATTGAAATTAAGTTTTACTTTGATTTATCATTTGATGACTCATCAAGAAGCCACTATTGTCGAGCTTTTTGTTTGCAGGGGTAGTAATGTTGAGTGAAATATTACTCTGCTTTATAATAGGGTTTCTGATTTGGTTTTCTCTCAGTTTGCTTATCTCTATAAACTATTGAAGGATGTTTATATCCCACATAATGCTTCTGACGAGGTAGTTTGGGAGATTGACAAAAGTGAGATTTATTTAGTTAAATCTATGTATCATTTACTCTATCATGATAGGGCGCGATGGTCTATGTCTGAAATAGCAAGTGGAAATAAACCCTGCCTCTCAAAGTGCAAGGTTTTTTTGGTTGGCGGTTCAAAACAGAGTTCTCACAGTCAATCTGATTAAGAAAGAGAAAATTTTACTGAATATATGTCTCATGTGCAAGGAAGACGGAAAAAATGGTGACCATCTCTTTCTCCATTGTTCGTTTGCTAGTTGCATTTGGAAGTGGTTTTTAGACAAGCTTGGGGCTGCATTGGTAATGCTACTGTCGGTGATTGGGGTTCTTCATAATCTTTCAGTTACTTTACCAAGGATTGAGTGTGTTGTATGGCAAATCTCTAGAGGTGTCATTCTATGGGAGATCTGGAGAGAGAGAAACAGACGAATGTTTGAAGGTATCTCTTTGCCGATTGGAAAAGTTTTGGAGAAAATCTTGCATTCCATCTGGTTGTACCTCTCTGTTGCGAGTTGTGGACATAATATTTCTGAAGTGGATGTAAGAAGTAATCTAATTAACCTTTTCTATTTGGGTTTCCAAAAGTGTAGGCCCAAAGGTAGATGGATGGTCCCACCTTTGGGGATTTATAAGCTCAACTTTGATGGTAGCTCATTAGGTAACCTGGGTCTTGCTGGTTTTAGAGGGGTTCTTCGGTATTGGCTGGGTAATGTGATCTTCTCCTATACAGGGCCACTTGGGGTGCAGACTGCGAATTATGTAGAGATCTTTGCCCTTCTCTTTGACCTTCGCTCCCTTGTGGAGAGGAATTTGGGGACTTCTTACATTTTGAAAGGGATTCCCTCAATATTGTGAAATGATGCAAAAGAGATCAGAAGCTTCTTTGGGAGTTGAAATCCTTGTTGTTTCTGATTTTGGATCTCGCCTCTTTCTTTTCTGTCTCTTTTGTTCATGTGTATAGGGAAGCTAATGTGCTAGCTAATTCCCTTGTCAAAGGAGGTTTTACCCTCTCTGAAGCCGTTATTTCAAATTCTATAATCTCGTTCTAGATTAATAATATTTTTGAACTTTCTCTCTCAAACAAAATAGGAGGTTTGGTGATAACTCAGACAAATGGGGTTTATATAAATTTCCAAAACAGATGTCATGTCAATTAGGTCTTCTCCTTGCAGTCAAATAAGTCTTGCATCATTTGTTTATTCAAGGTTTCCAGGTCAAACGGTAGACCGCGTAAGGCGCAACTCTAACAAATACAAGAAATGGTTTGGTATTCCTAACATGATAAGCATTGGCAGAAGGGCACTTTGGATGTCACTTTGAGTCAAGATGTTGGGAAGTTTGGGTTGGTAACTAGTTTTGTTTCACAAGTCAGGGTAAATGAGATTTGATTGGTTGATGTCTTCATCAAAGCAAATAACATTTTCACTGGGATTGGTGCATCTCCAAGGCCCACAGAAGATATGCTTTTCTTTTTCCTCATTAACCATATAGAATATAGATTCATGCCATCAATACATTGTAAACTACAAGGCACCTATTCCCCTCTCTCTCTCTCTCAAAACACATTCAATTCTCTCTCTCTCTCTCTCTGAAGGCTCTCTCTCAACACATTCAATTCCTTTCTCTCACATATCTCTCTTCCTTCCCCCCCTTATCTCTCTCTCTAGACAATATCAGAGAAGTTCGCTACTTCAATATTTAAATGAAAAAGTTTATAAAATGAGGAACTACGGATGCACTTCAAAAATCATTGTTTTAATGTTCAAAAGCCCTCTAATTGAGCATCTCGACATCGATATGTATGATTATGAAAGAAAAATGGATTTTAACTCCTAGAAATAGTACATCTTACACCACATTATCTAGACCGTCCTTTTCAAAATTGTCGTATGTTTTTAGATCTACTTGATTTTAACCAATTTTGGAGCTTAAAATTTTATAATTAAATATGAAAATAGATTTTTGGATAATCCTAAGAATATTTTGCATCAAAATTATATGTTATGATCAAATTTGAAAGTGCACCTTAATTGAGGTTGCAACCTTATAGAAACTGCACCCATATTTTAAAAAAAATGCATAAAATTCCTCGGCATCTTAAGCTAGTTCTTGTGAAACCAGTGAATGTGTCTGCTAGGTCATTAGTCCAAGTGGGTGCAGCTGCCCCAAGCATCTATTTTGATAGTAAACATAAAATGCTTATTCAATTTTGGAATTGGTCCCACGTTCTAAATCAGTAAAGAAAAAAAAGGTGAAGTGATGAATGGATTATCTTGACCAAAACTATCCTGTTCCATAAAGTTTGCAACCCCCCAGAACTCTCAACTCCCTTGACCAACAAGAGACTGGCTCAAAAGTTAGAGTTAGATTCCATCTTTACTTGTAGAGAGAGGGAAGAGAGAGAGAGAGAGAGAGAGAGAGAGAGTAGGTAGAGAGTAGTTCGTACGAAG